TGTAAATATGTCAGTGTAATAAATAATATTTATTGAACAATATGAAATTGTATCCCATAAAGTATGCTGATTATAAGTACCAAACATTGTAATTATTTTATGAAAGTAGTTTAGGTGGGTAGCTGCGTCAGCATGCTTAGGCTGCAAAGGAACAAGTAATAGGTTTATTCCATGTTAAAAAGAGAAGAAAGAAAACAAAACGTTTCGGCCATGGAGCCTTCTTCACCCTTCTTCCTCACACCTGAAGAAGGCTCCACTGCCGAAATGTTGTCTTTTATGAAAGTGTTGAATTGTGTGGTCTTTCTCAAGATAACAGGAACAATGGAAACAGTAATGGTATTGTAAATACCTCAATTAACTGTATTATATGTAGACCTCAGTATTCCAAAAAATAGTATAATCCACTACAACACTTTTTTAACTTGGAAAACTCGCTGTGTAAGTGTTTTATTATTTACCCTTTTCTTTCCACCCTATACAGAATATAATGCAACCAACAGCATATGAGCCTGCGATTAGTTGATTTTACCTTAATGTTGGTGGTTAACATTTGTTTACTGTCTTTCCTAACTATAGGGTGTTGAGCACTGGGTAGTTTAACTACATTTCCCAAAACCCTTTAGTTTACAGAAAATATTTGACCGTTAAAAACTTGGATGTCTCCGCGCGGGTTTTATAGATGCATCTTGGGAATTGAAGTCTATCATCGGCTAACAACCAGGAAGCTTTGTCTAATCGAATAGAAAGACTACAAAATCGATGAGCTCATCGCTTCGTTGCGCAGACGTGGTGAAGATTTTTTAAGCTCGGTATGTGGATCTATAGGAGGGGGAAGGTCCTTGTCGGATTTTGAGGTAAAGTCGCCATTTAGTAAAAACTAGTTTGCAGAAAATAGCGTACATTGGGAGTAAAATTCTGATTATAGACTAAAATAATATTTCGCATTATGTTGATATTCATTAATAAAATGCTTGTTTTTATTTTCCTTGTTACTGAATGTTCAAGCTGAAAACGCAAACTCATTTTGGTTGTGCTGGGGGATGCGGTAATAGCGCAGCAATTTATGTAAACTTTTTTAATGTGCTTTTTCGTGTACACCCTGGCGCTCTGAGCGGAATCTGGAATGACACTGCAATAACTTTATAAGTATTTTATACTTTCATCTTTTAATTATTTAAAGTCATGGATGCGGTGCGCAGGGGGAAGTTTTAAATCACAGGGTTTTGGGAGGGTTTCAGACTCCCTGTGCTCCACATAAAGGGGCTTATCCCACCCGAACTACGCTTTAGTCAGTCTTGCTATGCTCTGCTGTGTGAAGGGAGTAGAAAGAGGTGATTTCCCAGGCCGGAGAGAGACGAGGCCTGGCGGCCGGATTGTGGCACAGAAATCGAAGGCAAGCTAATTTTTCGAATAGTTAATGATAAGTTGTTAAAAATCAGATATCGGTCATATCTCTGTCAATCTTGAGCATGGAAGGCTCCCAGTCGCTTACGTGCAAATAAAAAGGAATACGCAGATGGAGACTGGGCACTGACACTCTTGGTGCGTTAGGAAAACAAAGACACTCCTCCATGCCCTGATGTTTTACGAAATTGCTCGGGCCGACATTCGACCTGGATTCACCGTGCTCTTTAAAAACCCTAGCGACCAAGAAAACGGAAAAGCAGGAGACTCGTGAATCGGTGAAAATCCAGGTCAACCGGCGGGGAACACTCCAATGAGCCATGTAAATCGTCTAGTCCAGGTTCGTTGTGCACGCTGCAGTCAACGAGCGAAGATACTATTTTTTTTACATTTTAACTTAAACTTTTGGCAGGGTTTGGTTGGTTAAACTATATCCACGTTCAGGATGGGTTTTGTACGTTGTTAGGCTGGTTAAGCGAAGACTCGGCAGCCTTTCAATAACTCCGGATTCACATCTGAAATAGCATCTTGCGCGGTGCTCCAAGTTCAATTCTCTCCGGGGTTTTGCCGGTGTGATTGCTTTCAGACTGACAATCCGATGTGAAGAAATGTGGCTTTGACTAGGCTTTAGGTAAGCAGGTACCTCCGATATACTGCCTCCCATTAGGACGTTGTGGCAAACCTTTCCGGTACGTGAGGGATGGCAAAATAGTGATTTACTTGAATCCCGTAGAGATTAGGGGTATAATATGGTATTCAATGTAAGATTTTTTTCTTCTGTGTGTATACTGTATGCAATTTATTGTTCTTAAAATGCTTTTAATTTATGGCCTTGATTTGACACTGCATCATATAATGTCGCTTGTTTAAAGCGACATTACTTCGTTTTAGCATGTGCGTTCCGAGTGCTTACAATGAGGTTCTTAACATAAAACTATTTTTAATAATACATTTGCTTTGGCAGCCTACATTGTTTTGTGCACTAGGTTTTAAACTGTATTGGAGACAGCGTTGTGCATTGAGATAATCCTGTTTTAGGTCAGCCGTGGGTCTTGAGTAGGCCAGGCCAACCCAGCCTGGTTGGTGCCAATGCTATGCAAATGGCCTAGCGAACAGTATGAACAAACTTTTTTTTGGGTTGTCTGTGACCCAAATCTATAAACAGTCCTATGAAGAGGTTAATTTGGTGTCAGTTGTTAGTTGTAGGTTATAAAACATTTTTCTGTATTTGTTCCTTTCCATTGCAGAATCAGAACGCAAAAGGGTATTTTCCTGGCTGTTTTGAAACGTTAAATGTAACTTTAAATGATTTTCGAATTCGGTCACTTAATTATTAGTGCATCAAAGGCGATCGAGCTGACAACTTGCTCATGACGTTTTGTCCTTAATCCTTTAGCTGACAGAATTGAGGAACAGTCTCACTTCATAGCGTCTGTGTTAGTTGCTGGTTTGGCGATTTGACACTACGTTTTAAGTGTTTAAAATGAATGACGCAGTATTCAAGATGAACTCCGCATACAATGGAGTGAAAACTGTATATATATTTTTCATCATATTAATGTCTTTGTGGTTAAAATCTATATAAGAGTCCGGAAAGGGAGGAAATGAATTATGAAAGTCATACGAGGGAGTTATAGGAGTTAACTTCAGCAGCGTGATATTTATTATAGGAATTCATCAATATGAGTGGTATGGCTTCCCCATGTACAGTACTTTCAATGTAGCCAACAATGTATTGACTGAAAACCGGTTTAGTACTGTTCTACAATATGTATTTGTTATATTTATTAATAAGTGTTAAAACTGGGAAAATGCAGAGCTCTTTTTGTTCAAGAGTGAAGGTGACAGCCTAATATTATTAACAACTGTTACAGCAATTTTTTCCAAAACTATTTAGTGATGTGAGAATTCATGGACTTCATTGTACAAGATTTTTAATGGAGTATCAGTGTAATGTTCTTAGTGTCATTTAAGTGTTAAGATGGATAGAATATTTTGAAGTGGTTAACTTTTCAAAGTTGGTGTTAAATTGTAAATATTATTACCCTTCTTATTTAGTATTATTACTTAATTTAGGTGGATTTAATCTGAGCACTGAACTCTCGTTAGCCTAGGGTGGGAGATGAGCATCTTTTCTCTATTTTTTTCTTAAAATATTCATACCTGTTATTTTTAAGTATCAGATTAGATTGATTTACTGCCTGTGGGCTGCAAAAATTTGGAAACGGTTTATGTACTTAAAAACATTCTTTCTGTGGTTAAAAATTATGCATCATCATCAGCACAACGTTTTCCCTCTAGCATTGATTTTTTTTGTATTTTTGCTTTTCCACATGATTGAAATAGCACAAAAACAAACTTTCAGTACAGCTGAGAGCAAGTTGTTTATAGGGGATACTAACTTCATGCCCCATATATTGGGAAAAGCTGCAGGGTCTCATGGTAATCATAAGATAGTTGGCGACTTAAAAGATTTTAAAAAAAATCCTGTTTGCTCTCTCGGATAACTTAGTTTGCTACATGTGAGGTGTGGCAGATTGACAGTTAGAATGAAATCGCACAGAAGTATGAAATATTTTCCTAGTGAAATTGTTTAAATCACCATGTTACTCAAACTTCCAAATACTGAGAATGTGGGACAGGAAATGTCATCATGCTCATATTGGAAAACAATACTTTGTATATAACCATGGCTGGAGTGTTTCGGTTCTTCATGTTGACTGTTGACCCATTTTCTGTGTACTTGTATATTGTAAGCAGGGAAAATGTAGCAATATTGTGTGTACTTTTAACATTGAAGTAACATCTTAAGTAACTTGAAGCATGTTCCTGTACAAGTTAAGATTTAGTAACATTAGCATGTAGTTGGAGATTGTGAGCGTTGTGGACACATAGTCCAAGAACCTCTCTTTACTATTGCTGAAGGGTTAAATCCAGGATATTCATACTAATTTCCAAGGACATCTTTGAGTGAAAAGAACATGACAACCAAATGAATAGAGCATGTTAACACTTAAGGAAAATGAAAATGTAAGTTTGGGTGTGCAGTTATTTTTTTTTCTTTTGCAGTTCAAGTCTGTGAGGATCAAGCTTTGGATTACACCTGGTTTTTGCTACAGAGACTACAAGCAAGAACACCACCACCCCTTCCTTTTTCTGCTCAATGCCGACTATCTGTGGTTCCCTTTCAGGATGGATTGTGTGAATCTGATGGTCATTGTGTGTTTACATCAGCATTTAATTTTCTGTGACATTATCTTGTTCTTTTTCATTTACAAGAGAACACCCCCTCTCCAAGGCCCTGACCCTTTACACTGTAAAATTCTTAGCTTTCATTGCTAATTTGTTAAAAGAGAGACTCCTTTAAGCTCCAAAGGCTTAAAACCAAATTTGACAGGAAGAGGCATTTGCAAGGAAAACCTTTTTTTTGGCAACTTTTGTTTGTGTTTTTTATTTGGGCAAATACAATGTCGGAAGACCCAGATAAAGTAGTGACGTTTTTGGCTCCTCCAAAAAATGGCAATGGTTCCAGTTCAGACACATTGGTGGGTGAGAAGCTGAATAGCAGGCATGAGGTTGAGTTCAGAAAACGGAGACATACCATGGACAAGGACAGCAAGACCACGGCAGAGCACCGCTTCTTTCGTAGGAGTGTCATTTGTGACTCCAATGCAACGGCTCTGGACCTACCCAGTAAAGCCTGCTTTATGTCCTCTCCTCCTGATTTGGATCCACTGTCCATCCTCATAGCAGAGCCCAATGATAACTCCTTTGTGGCTGTTCAGCCTCTATGCATGATGTCAGTGGAGTCGGTTACTGATACACTCACCAAGGTCAATGTACAAAGTGAAGAATGTAACACAGTTATCCAGGAGGTTTGTGATGGGGAAGTGAAGCAGTCTTCTCTGGCAGGGCCCACAGATGACATCAGTCAAGCTGAGGAACCGGATGATAATGTTGCGCTAGAGAAGAGGGATGGGGTGAAGGGGGCTGCGAAAGTGAAGGTGGACCAGAAGACAGAAACGGAACAGCGGGAATTAGAGAAGAGGATCCAAATCCAGGAAGACAACGAGGAGGTGGAGACCAAAGCTGTGGGTACCTCGCCTGATGGCCGGTTCCTCAAGTTTGACATCGAGATTGGCAGAGGCTCCTTCAAAACGGTCTATAAAGGCTTGGATACAGAAACCACTGTTGAAGTGGCATGGTGTGAGTTGCAGGTAAGATGTTTTTTGAACATTTTCTGACCAGTGTCTGAATTTAAAATTGTGCCACAGGCCCTTTATACCTGGGCTGCAGAAAATGGGGAAAAACATTCTGGATCTGAAATGTGAAGAAAGAACATTCTCTTGAAGCCTAGAAACTTTATAAAATTTTCAATGGAAAGGTAACAGGTCTGTGATGTGAGCTAGGAAAAATAAGTTAAATCAATAAATGAAAATTGTTTTTTTTTGTTCTAATCCATTGCAAAACCTGTCAGAAGAACTAAAATATGAATATAAGAAGACTGGCATTATATTAAGAGTATTACAGACAATTAAAAAGCAAATGAATGTTTTGAAACTTAGGAAATAGTGACGAGTAAAGGGAGACTTACATGTAAATGAGATTTGCATAAGGAGTTGTGTATTTTAATTATGCCTGTTATACATTCTTTGACTAAGGCCTCCATAAGATTTTATATTCCTTCAGCTCAGGTTCTAAGCAAACTAATTTCTTAGTCTTTTTTTCCAGATTTAGTTAAAGGAAGTAATGCTGATAATCTATACTACCATGTTGAATAGGTGTGGCTCAGGTTTGTGCTTTAAATAAATAGCAGTGCACATGCATGGCTTGAATAGCACATAGGGAGTGTATGTAGGTTATTTTGAGACTTTTTGGAATACCTAGATGCTGTATTTAAATAGACATGAAAACACATGATATAATAGAAGCTGACAACTTCAATACTGATTTAAATCAGTTAAATCATTAAAAGTAAAGCCAGGAGAAAAAAACATCTAGCTTCTTACATCACCATTCAATGGGTCATGTGTGCTAAATGTACATTATTTCAATTTGCTAACAGAGTTGCATTACATTATTTTTCTTTATTATTGAAGATGGCCTACCTGGAGGTTAGGAGGGTCTAAATTTTATTGAAGAAAATATTTCTGTTATGCGACATGATTCAACAACTTGCTTTCACTCATCCTGTTTTACTCACCTGGCTTGTCCTTAATGGTACACTTAAATCTACCTGTCCATGTGTTGTTGGTCAGATCACTTCTAGTCTTGTGATAACTTGCAGAATAGGGTCCATGTCCTGTCTGTCACAGTGATAAAACATGAGACATGACTGTTCTTAGTTCTTAGGTTTTACTTGGCAGAATCATCTGGAGTCTTTTGTTGGTTAATAAAAAGCATTGTTTTAATTCAGTGGCATGTTACTTTATCTCTGAAGTCAAGGGGTCTCCCCTCAAACTACCCCTGTAGCACTGGACATTGGGTTATAAATTTAATTTTAAAGGTAGTGCACACAAAAAGTAAATTCTGATCAATTATATGCACATTATGATGTAAATATTAGTATCTGACATCAATACAGAGCACTTACGTAAATACAGGCATATGTTTTAATGTCTCCTGTAGGGAAATTTCCATTTAAGAGAACACCAATGTAATGTAATTTCCCTTTATAATGTGGCTATTAGGGCTAACCTTCAGATTCCAGCGGAAGAAAAATCAATTTCAAGGGTTTTGTCTTTCCATGTATTTCCCTTTAAGTTTAGTTAGCAGTTTAAGTTACAGCTAAATAGATTTGGTGAAATTATCTGCCATCAGTAAAAATAGTGATTTAAGTCTTTGAATCTTATGGATATCTTGTTTTATATCTGTGTAAAATATTTAAAGATATGGCACAGAGATATCTTATTTCTCTAAGTGCCAGATCATTATCCTTAATTGCTTGCACCTTGGAAACTGCCAAGCGGAAGTCTTGACTCCAACTATCAGAGCCTGTTTAACTGAATCAGTAAATCATAATCTTTAGAGCATTATAGTATATTGCATGTTTTAATTCTGTTTTGTGCACCTTTTATATTTAAATTTTTGGCGGGACTAATTTATTTGGACCAGAAAAGAACAAAAGGTAACTTTTGCACAGTAACCACACTTCATTTTTTGCACATTTTGATAATGTACCCTGCTTTCTCTTTGTGGCTCTGTTACTTGGCTTTAAGAACACTGGATCTAGAGCTTAAATGCATCTCATGTGGAAAACAAGAGCTTAGTTTTGTGTTCTTTGGCAGAACTTATAACCTCTGTTGTGGATTACATGGCTTAATTAAGAGATAAAATCAGTATAATTGGTTTGCTAATGATCTTGAGGTCTTTAGACTTAGATGTGTATATGATATTACCTCGGGGAGAAGACATCAGTGAGGTCATTCTCAGATCCTTTGGAATTGAATCATTAATATAATATAGCCATCCATGTCTATAGTAGTCTGCTCCTGATATGCTAAAGGAAAAACAAAAACTGTCCTTTCTTTATGAAGCCCTCAAACAAAATTAAAAGCTGTACTTTAAGTTAATTATTTTAAAAATTAGAGATGTTTACCAGTCAGAAATAAATGTGGATACTTTAAGGTCTTGTACTTAAAGATGCAAGTAGCTTATTTAAAGTCTTTGGTTTGCTAGTGTCTTTTGGGTGAAAGTGATGCATTGGTTTATAAGTGAACAGAAGAAGGTACAACTGGGCACAGGTGATGAGCTGATTAGCAGTTAAATGTCAGCCCTGATGAAAATGTAGACAGGAATTAAATACTCCCTGCTCATGAACAGATTGACACATTTGTTTCATTGGTATATCGGCACGTGCACTAAAGTAAAAAAAAAAAACTGTTGCTTACTGTTTGGGGTGTTTTTATAGGTAGTGCTTTTGTACCCTGGTAAAATTTTGATACTTGAGTGCAATTTGTCAAAGATCACATTTTGTGATTATATTGCCAGAGTTTTAGGATTTACCATTTTCTTTTGTGTGCTAATTCTTCAAAAGATCAGCAACTCTTCTAACTATAGGCAATTATTTTATACATTTTTATAGATGCTTCTTTAATTGCTTTATTCTTTGTATTGGACTGATGGATTTTAGCAAAGTTAATTTTAGTATTTTATATTAGGCTAGGAAAATGTCAGGACAGTTTTCTTCACCTGGTTCACATCTGGCTGATAGCTCATATTGTCTCCTACAGTTAAGACGTTTTGCTTAAACCAAACTTACAGCCATATATTAATTTGTGGAAATTGATAGTTTATAGGATACTGGAATGTTAATCATAGGAGGCAATTATTGCACTCCATATAAAAATACTGATTGAAGCAAGGACTAGGTCTTATTTAATAATAATAATAATAATAATAATAATAGTTGCTTACACTTATATATTTATTTTCTGGACACTCCACTCAAAGCGCTTTACAGGTAATGAGGACTCCCCTCTACCACCACCAATGTGCAGCATCCAGCTGGATGATGTGACGGCAGCCATAGTGCACCAGAACGCTCACCACACATCCGCTATCAGTGGTGAGGAGAGCAGAGTAATGAAGCCAATTCATATTTAAGAATGGTTCAAAGCCAGACCAGATATTTTCTTTCACATGTGTAACTTGTTGGAAAACTTGGAGAAATCACACAAAATGTCTGTGCAAATAGCAACTTATTAACATCACTAATGATCCTAATCACAAACTCCTCATTAGTACTGATTAAGATTAGATTTGTTAGTATTTGGAATGGTATGTTAGAATTTGATTGTTTTTGATGATACTTAACAATTTAGCTGAACTTCTGCTTAGTACAGTGCTAAGAGCTCAGTGTTGTTGTTCTTATCAGCACAAACAGCAGAGACTCTGACTCAGAAACTTTAATTAATCTGATCAGTTAATTAATATGTATGCCATAATTATTGCTTTGTCTGGTTTTTAAATATGACTGAACTACTATATAACTACTAATGTGATACTCAGTTGCAGTTAGTCATGAAGCAAACAGGTTTAAATGTGAACATGTATGTATCATAGCAGCCTTTATTTCCATTGCCCTTCAGACAAATAAGCGAACATGTCGCTGTATCTGTTATGTAAAAGGTACATTTTACATAACAGAACAGATAGTATCTGCAATACTATGAAGGTAAAATCTTGTGCACTTTCCGGGACTACTTTTGTTGCACTTCCTCCGAGTGTTTTTTATTTAATGTTACATTTGCCTACACAACCTCTCTATATCCCCAATATACCTGCTTTCCCCAGAGAATCACAATTGTAGATACCCATCACAATAAAAACAAATCTATTCAAGTGACACCCAGATGTGATGGAACATATTTACTTACATACCATTTATATATGTATTTTCTTAATGTCCGTCCTCTTCACTTCCCAGGATATCTGAAAATTCACTATTGCATTACTAAAATCTGAAAAATCACATGCATTTGCTATAATACAGCTATTAATAAAGATAGATGTTTAAACTTCATTATTATTAAATTACAAGTTTATTGATAAACATTAATAAACTTCATTATTAAAAGATGTGGTATGACTGAAAAGCAATTTTAGTTAAATATTCCATAAATCTTCAAGCAATGGATGGCTATGTTCATTACATAGTGATGATATTAACACTTCATTCAGGAACCTTCTGATTTGATCCAGTGTTTCTGCTTAGTACACTACTACGTTGCTTAAACCATAGGAGGTGGTTTACATAAGTCGCCTACTTTAGTTATCTCTAGAGGGAAGCATCTGTTACTTGAGGCTTGTTGCACTTGAGAACAGGTTTGGAACGGTGCTGTGATCTAATTTCAGCTGCCAAGTTAGTTGCAGTTGGTCTTAAGGTAGCCTGCTAGTTTAGCACAGAGCTGTGTGCTAACCATAGTTTGAACTCCAGTTAGTACACTGCTTTCAGTTTGTTGCAATTGATGCATTGGGTGTTTTCAAAAATAGAACAGAGATCAATAGAAGAAGGGCCCTTGCAACAAAATTACAGGAAAAAGGAAAGGACTGGGACTAATCAAACATTTTGTTAATTACTTAACGACTAGCACCATAATTCTTACTGATGTTTCACGGGCAATGGCGTCTAAAGAGATTATACTCTGAGAAAGATGTCATTGGCAAGGGGTAACAGTGGCAAGTATATACTCCAGGGTACATACATTAATTTGAA